AGGGTTTAAGGATTGGGGTTTGGGGTTTAGGGTTTGGGGTTAAGGGTTTAGGGATTCTTGGACCGCGGCCTTGCCGAAGCCAGCAGTTTGGGGTAATTTTGGGGGTATATATATATATATCTATATGGGTTACATGGGGGTCATCTTTGGGCTATTTTGGGATCATATTGGGGTTATTTTGGGTTATATTTAGGTTATATCGGGACAATGGAAAAGAACTATTAAATTCTAGGGTAATGTTGGGGTTATATTCGGACAAGGGAAAGGAAAAGAGTAACTACAGGGATTATAGGGGATATATGGTAGTTTCCCACAATAGGGGAACCCCAATATAGACCCAAAATACTATAGTCCTTATTATGGGGACCCCCAAAAAGGTATCCCCTAATTTTGGGAAACCCTCATATAGGGATTATGCCAGTTCCAGATAGCCTGCCCACATCTGGAATTTGCGCATGGGCCTAGAGTTGGCAGTTGGTTAGCCCCTAAACCCTAAACCCTAAACCCTAAACCGCGTGGGGTTTAGGGTTTAGGGTTTAGGTTTTAGGGTTTAGGGTTTACCTATTATATGGTAGTTTCCGTGTTCTTTTCCATTCCTTCATTCCGAGCTAACAGAAGGCCAGGAGTTCGGACATTTCATCAACCTCGCATTCAACCTCAGATGCAGACGCCTACATGGAAAGCGCAATCCTCGCTGATGTCGCTGAGAGGTCTTAAGTTGAAGCACAGCTTTGAGACCAAAACTGGGAATTACAGAGTTTAGGGTTTAAGGTTGTTTGGGATTCATCATGTTTTTAAAATCATGCTCATGGCAAGATCAGAGCTGTGAAAAAGGCGAGTACGCCTTCTTCGCGAAGTCTTGAAGTGGGAGGTTTGTCAAAGCTGTGGTATCAGGAAAGTGGAAAAGAAAATGGAGACTACTATAGTATATTGGGGCCATATTGGGATAACGGAAGAGAAAATGGAAACTACTATATAGCATATCGGAGTATATTGGGATAATGGAAAACATCTAAACCTTAGGGACAGCGCTATGCAAGGGGCTCAACAGATGACCATAGATTTCATGACCTACCCGGTAGAAACTGTACTGTCCTTGTGAATTATGTTGAATTAGTATTATTGTATAACCCTAAGGAAATATCAAACAATGTTTATTCTTTATAGGTCTAAGGAGACGAAAGGTTTTAGGCGAGTTCAGCTGTTATTGTTGCTTCGGGCGCTCGCATCAGACATTTGATTGCGCCCGCTTTAGGCAGACATTGGCCTAAAACCCTAAATCCTCAAACCTTCAACCCTAAACCCTAAAAACCCCGAAGCCCTAAAGCCCTAAACCCTAAAACCCTAAAACCCTAAAATCCTAAAACCCTAAACCCTAAACCCTAAAGCCCTAAATCCTAAAACCTTCAACCCTGTTCCCAGGCTCTCTGCGTTCATGGCAAGAATTTGCCGCAGCAACGAGACTTGGACCGAATCGCAGGTCTCTTTTCTGTCCAGCTTGATGTGAGCTGTAGTCTAAGCTCCCTAAAGGGGATTATGCAGGGGACTACTATAGGGGTCATTAAGGATGTTAGGAGTTTAGATTATAACCCCTAGAATCCCCTACATAACCCTATATAGAGCAGTTTCCATTTCATTTTCCGTTTTCTTTCCCATTTGATTCTCCATTGTTAAGCTCATGTGTGTAAATTTCAGTCCAACCTTCTTCGGAGTTTGCGCATGCAGCAGGTTTTGCATGGCAATTGCGTTCTTTCCAGGAGTTCTTGTCATAGGGCATGGGGTTTAGGGTCCAATCATTCAGATTTTGGTGAAGGAGGTAGAAATGCGAGTGCCGCCCGTTCATTGTGAGGGTCCCAGGCCCTAAAGCCTAAACTGTGCCCATAAACCCTGAACGCTAAGCCCAATATTCTCTTCAGACTCCTGGTGAGCTAGTTCGCGAAAGCTTCCGTCAAATCATCTGATCCTTGACCTTCCAAAGTCTTGAAATCATGTTTCCGTATACCCAAAACCGATTACTGGGTGGGGGATTGACCCAAGTTGAATAGGCATGCATCTGAGTCCTCAGGTTAACATGGGGTTTCCTCCCAAAAATTGAGGGGACCCTGTCGGGTTCTCATAATACGGATTGTAATATTTGGGGGTGTAGATTGGGGTGCCCCTGTTTATGGAAACTACCACATACCGCCAAATATCATAATCCTTATTCTTGGGACTTGCAGACTAGTCCTTTTTTGGGAATACCTAAGCCCTATATCTCGCTCTAATATCCCTATACATCCCTATGTAACCCTTATACCTCCCGAAAAAAGAAGGCCTGCAAAGGTGTCATTAATTTTTGCCAGACGCCTAAATCATCACACAGGGTTTAGAGTTGAGGGGTTTGGGGTTTAGGGTTTAGGGTCCAGAGTTAGAGTTTGAAACCCTCAACCCTAACCCTAAACCCTGTATGATTTCTCGGACCAGTGATCACTCATCAGTAGGCAGAAAGGAGACAAGGGATGCTGACCTTTTGGGTTAGGGCTTAGGGCTTACAGCTTGGGGTTTAAGGGTTTAGGGACGTAAGAGGTCATTGTGCGCAATCATATCTGATAAGGGTTTCCTAGTTTGCCTGGAAAGCATGGAAGTGGCCAACGTGAAGGAGAATGTGGTTCAGTGAATGTTCCCTAAATACACTAAACTCCAAAGGTTTTACCAAGAGTCGTGCCCAGAATGTAACTGCAAGAATCTAAAGGGCAATCCAAATGCATTTCAGGGCTTCCTTAATTGCCTATTCTTCAATTGTTGTTTTCCTCAGTATACAGCAATGCAAGAAAGCACTTTCAGAATTTAGTTTGAATTTCATACCTGTTTGGTTTCCTCATGAGGAAGTCATTTCTTTCATAGACATTAAACGGCCTCGAGAAATCTAGACCGTGCAACTGGAACCAGAGTTTTCTGAATGAGAAAGTGTCTGTGGCTTCAACAGAAAGCAAGTAAGTCTTCATGCAAGACCTTCAACCAATCTCCTCGTGAACTAGCCTTTGGTTAGCCAGGAATGAAAGGAATTGATCCTTATAGTAGTCCGCATGAACCCATTATAGTAGTTTCCATTTTCTGTTCTATTCTTTTAAACCCTGAACCCTATACAACCCACTATCGTAGTTTCCATTGTCTTTTCCATTCCTTCATTCCCAGCTAACCGAAGGCCAGTGACAGTGTATATATGATGTTTCGGACATTCAGGGTGTTGGGAGAGGGTACTTGAGGGTTCATGAGATGCAATAACTACACATAACTGGGCTTGTAGCCCTATGTAGAGTTGAGGTAACCTACATGAGTCCATGTAGGGGAATCATAAGTAGACCTATAAGCCGAGTTACAAGCAGTTAACCCTAAACCCTAAACCCTAAAGCGTGTAGGAAGACGGCACCAGATGTCTGTCTTTGTTTGTTCCAAACGCCTTGGCTGCCCAGCGCCCAGGCATCTTTGCACGTGCCTACCAAAAAACCCTAAACCCTAAACCCTAAACCCGGAACCCTAAACCCTAAACCGTGTAATCCCCTAGGGTTCCCTAAGCCCTAAACCCTACTTGGAGGCTCATGAGACTTAGTAACTACTTAGGTTCCCTTAAAGGGGGCTGTAGGGATATGTAGGGTTTAGGGTTAAGGGTTTAGGGTTCGAGGGACTTATAATTCCCTATGACTGGGCGGATAACCCTACATATACTTGGGAGAATGTACCTAAGTCCAGGTGTTCTTCGGAAACTTATTTAGGAAGTTTCGCCGTGCGTCTTAGTTGTCAAACGCTAAACTACAGGTTGCTATTCTCTATGCTATGTCCATTCGTCCGTTGGACCCTTGATTCTTGGACCTCAATTACTTAAAGGTTCATTGGGCTTAGCAACTACGTATACCTGATTTACAGCCTTATTCAAAATTCCCCCAGACTGACTTGTGCGCGTTATCCTGATTATACATAGAGTTATAAGCACTGAGCTTCAGTATAATTTGGTATTTAGTCCCATGAAACCTCAGGTATTCTTGGACCTTACACCTCCGAAGTCCAACTCCCACGTGCCTTTGATCCAGTGACAGCTCTTAACCCAAAAACCCCAAACCGCTAAACCCCTTATCCCTAAACCTCCTAAAGACCAAAACCTCCCCAAACTAAACCCCTAAAGCACTAAACCTTAAACTCTAAAAGTTGAATCCCAAACCCAAAATCTTAGATCCTAAAGGTTAAACCCTAAACCCTGAACCGCAAAGGCTTTGGTGCACCGTGCAAAATCTTCTGGCGGTAGTAGCTCCATGGCCGCCGTGGCGGCAAGCTCGCCAGGGATTTGGTGGTAGTTTGCCATAAGAAAGGGACCCCCAATAAACTCCTTAAAGAGGGTTATATAGGGGATCATATGTAGGGTTAAGAGGTTTAGGATTTAGGATTTTGGGTTCAGGGTTTAGGGTTTGGGGTGAAAACTCTTTAAAGGAGGGAGTTATAGAGGGGATTGTATAAAGGAGTATTGCGGGGGTTATAAAGCAGGGTACTAGGAGTTTAGACAATGGCTCATGTGTACTCAATAATGGATAATCAAATGGAAAAGAAGATGGAAAATGACATGGAAGGCACCATACATAGTGTTAAATGAGGATTATATTGCGGTTTCCCAAAATACAGGGACCCCAATAAAGACCCAAATACCGTAGTCCTTATTTTGGAGACAACGCAGTACCCAAAACCCTAAACCCTAAATCCTAAACCTAAACATTAAACTCTTTAATTTTGGGAATCCCCACTCGATTTTCAGAAGGTGCAAAGAGGGAGTCTCCATCTCCAAATCCAACCAGTGCAAGAGGTGGTTTCCCAAAATTAGGCATGGTTTAGGGTTTAGGGTGTTTTTGGGGGAATATACATACAATGCTGAGGGTTTATGTTGCCCCGAAACCCTCACTCAAGCCTACTAAGCCCTAGACCTTTTCCCCCATAGTATATTGGTGTTTCTTTTTTTGGAGATTACCAAATCCCGCAAATCCTAAACCCTAAACCCCAAATCCTAAACCCTTAGCCCCAAATCCTAAGCCCTAAACCCCAAACCCCCGATCCTAAAACCCTAAACCCCAAATCCTAGCATGTCTAGGAAGTGTAGTGAACCTGCCCTAAACCCTAAACCCTAAACCCTGAACCCATAACCCTAAACCCTAAACCCTAACTCAGGCATGAGGGCTAGATGGTTCACCAACTTTGGGTTTAGGGTTTAGGGCTTAGGATTTAGGGTTTAGGGTTTAGGGTTTAGGATTTAGGGTTTAGGGTTTAGGGCTTAGGATTTAGGGTTTAGGGTTTAGGGTTTATGGTTTAGGGTCTACGGCTTAGTTCTTGGCGTTCAGGTTTGCGCTTTTGTTTTGGGTGCTTTATCTTCAGTTCTAGATAGCAAATTCGTTTTAGTAGTTAGCTGAATTCACTGGCCATCGTAACCCCGAAGTGCAAGGACCTTCGCCCGCCATTCGGGTGCAACACTGCAGGAGAAACTCCGTTGATTGATGTGCCTAGGGTTTAGGGTTTAAGGTCAAATCCCTTCCTGGCCCCCAAGCTCAGCCTAAAACCCAAAGCCCAAAGCCCTAAACTCTACACCCTTAGACTCTAAAAGCATAAAATGGGTGCCCATATAAACCCTAAACCCTATATAATATGGTAGTTTCCATTTTCTTTTCCATTATCCCCATATATAACCCCATAAACCCTAAACCCTTATAATAAGGGGTTAAAATTCCTGAAAAAGCAAAGCTGGCCTGGCTTGTTCATACATAGGAACGGCTACAGTCTAGACCCTCCAATGTAGTTCCTTTTTGGGTTTGGTATGGTTTTTTGGTTAGGAAACTTATTAGGACTACCAAAAAGGTACTACATTGGAGGGTCTAGGTGGGTAAGTATGAGGGTTATACAGGGTCTTCTGAAGGGGGTTATAGGGACACCTTGAGTTGGGCATACACATGGCGTTTATAGGGTTTAGGGTTTGAGGATATTAGCCCCAATAATGGAGGACCCAATGGAAAAGCAAATGGAAAATGAAATGGAACCTGGGTGTATGTCAAGGTTTATAGGAAGAGTTGTAAATGCTATCGCGAGAGACGGTTGGGTTGGCTTTGGGCCGCCCACCGTACACCCTAAACCCTAAATGGGGCTGGACCAGCCTCGGCGAATATTTTTAGCAAATTGCCGCTGGAAGGCTGCTTTGAACAACAAATCTTGTTTAGGGTTTAGGGTTTAGGGTTTAATCTTGGATACTGCGCCCACTCATGACAGTTGGATGATGGTGTTGTTATGGATGTTACAAGCCTTCAGCATTTTCCATATTCTAGCCCGTTGTTCGGTGGGGGGGGGTGCGCCCAAGGTATATCTTAGGTGGACCCCCCACCCAGTAATAGTGACTATTATGGATAATAAGGATTGTATTAGGGTCCTCTTATATTCCTATTATACCACTATTACAGGGTGGGGGGTCCTCTTAAGGTATATCCAAGAAGCCGCAGGCGCGTTTTAGACTAGACAAGCAAGGCTGGAAAAGAAAACGTTGACCTTAGAACGTAAACCCTAAAGCCTAAACGCTAAATCCCAAACCCTAAACTATGCTAAGCTCTAAACCCTAGACTTTAAACCCTACCCCAAACCTTAAGACATAAAGCCTAAACTATCCTAAGCCCTACTCTCATCGGCCGAAGCCCTCAGCTCTCCGCAGAGAAAAATTTGGCAAGTAGGTTAGGGGTTGGGGTTTAGGGAGAATGGAAAAGAACTGGAAACTACTACAATGGGGTTGTATAGGGTTTGGGGCTCAGGGTTTACGGACTGTTCGGGTTTAGGGTTCAGGGTTTAGGGTGTGGAGTGTAGGGAGTCAGCACATCTTCGTAAGTAGGTTAATCGTAGGGCTGACTGGGCTTAATACGTACTTTTAGGGTTTCAAAATATACTTACTGAGCTCCCCTGACCCTCCACGCAGTCAAATAAAGTGTATCATATTGACGTATCGTATTAGAATCTTAGCATGAACTCCACTACATTGTGCGCATAAAATTCCAGGGAAATTAACAAGGCATGGTAGTTTCAGGGACCCATTTTATCTCCTTACTACCCTCACACTCAGCATACCTCACTGTAACGCTTGATTTATGACTACGTTCCCTAACCCAATAGTAATCGCAGGCCCACACAAAGCAGGACCTTGGCCTCCATGAATGGGCATCGTTCAAAACATTTATATGATTGGAAGGTCTTGAGTTCTCGAAATCACAAGGATGATGTGCGCGAAGGGCGTGCGAAAGGTACAGCGTGGTTTAACATACCCTTCGCAATGCCGCTAAGCAGGCCTTGTTGATGGAAGGTGTTTGGGCTCCGTATCCATGCAGCTTATGCATTTGCAGTGACTCCAGCACTGAAGGAGTACTGAGCACATGCTGTATCGACGGTTTCGCTTCATAAGAAGCACCAGTGGTCAGTCGCTGCTATCATGTAACAAGTGTAGCGACGCGTCTACCTCTCGGGACCGCAGAAGAGTAACGATGATAGTAGTTGTCCTATGGATCGCCAGGCCTTCTACAAGACACTTCGGAATCAGTGTCTCAGTTGCTACTGCAAGCTTGAAGAACATGACAGAGGGCTTCTCTCCGAAAGTTGAGATCCTCGCGGTCGCACACGAAGTTCGCGAAACGTGCATGGAAGGTGTGCGAAAGATGAAAATGTGCACGGAACGGAAGTAAGTAGCCGCTTGGTTGGCCTCTCGCTTCATGGACTTGCTGGCCCAATAAATGCATCGGGCGAATGCGCGACAGGGTCGCGGAAGGGCATGCGAAAGATTGAATTGGGGGAAACGACGTACAGGAAACCCCTGAATCCTAAACCTTGCACCATACACCCTCAACCCTGACCCTAAACACCGAACTCTGAATCGTATGCCATACACCCTCAACCCTGACCCTAAACACCGAACTCTGAATCGTATGGCGGTATGCATTTTCTTGTCCGTACATAAGTCTAGAAATCTATGAAATCAGTTTTAAAGGATCCTAAGCCCGGCAGGACCTGGGTCTCCGGATGCCTGACCTGGCAGACCCCTGCTACCAGCTGCAGCTTGGTGTTCGAGGGGCGGGGTTTTAGAGTTTGAGGTTAAGTTTGGGGTTTAGGATTGTGGGATTTGTGGTTTAGGGTTTCAGGGTTTGAGGTTTAGGCTTCGGGGTTCAGGGTGTCGGAGTTCAAGATATCAAGGTTTGGGGTTTCGGGTTGCGGTCGGAGCATTGCGGTTTTGAAGATCATAGCGGGGGGTTGTCAAAATTGTGATCCCTGTTCGCGGTGCTCTTTGCATGTCAGGGGCTGTATTGTTTTCGGGAACCTCAAGCCCCTAAACCCTAAACCCTGAGGCCTAAACCCTAAACCCTAAACCCCTAAGCCTTAAACCCTAAGGCTGATTGAGAACCAAAGAACCAAAAAGGGTCATAATTTAGGGTTTAGGGTTTAGGGTAATTCTGACAACTTACCATATGAGGCATATCCAGTCGATGTCGAGAGAAATGCGGGCTGGGTCGGATAGACATGATGTTGTAAAAGGCTTTGAGGTTTGAGCTCAAGGTTTGGGGCTATGGTTGTTTTGAGGTTAACCCTAAACCCTAAACTCTAAACTTCTCTCCGGTCCGCAGCGGAAGCTTTCAAATGCTGTCGGCAGTACTTTTCCGAAGGTTTCAGGCATGTGGTGCCAAACTAGCTGTGCCTGGAGCTCCAAGCAGCAAGCCCTAGATTTTCTTCGTGAAGACTTCCTTGAACTCTAAACCCTAAACCCTAACCTTCTAAACCCCAAACCGTTAAGCCCTAAGCCTTAACCTTCTAAACCCCAAACCCTAAACCCTAAACCCAAACCTTCTAAACTATACAACTAAAGCCCTAAACCCAACCCTACCAAGAAACCAACCCTGGGGCTTCCCCGGCCGAATTTCAATACAATCCGTAATAGTTTTTTCTTTTCCATTATCCCAATATAACCCCAATACAACCCTAAACCTTACCCCTGAACTCTGAACCTTAAAGCCTCTACAGAGCGAGGCTGTTGAGCTGGCTGTTTGCCGCGCAGCTTCTCAAAGCCTTTCCCGACTTAAAAACTGGGAAAGACTTCTTGAGGCAGTGCCGGGATCAGGTTTGAACCTACTATGGTCTAGGGTTAAGGGTTAGGGTTTAGGGTTTAGGGTATGTATATACTATGGTATACGATACTGATACGATATATATATATATGTATATATGTAGAGGTTTACTATAATATCTTGAAATATTTTAAAATATGATAGAATACACTATAGTGAACTATATTATAGTATTTGAAGCTAAGCATTTAATTTCTGGATTTCGAACAGCACTAAGCGAGTTTCCGTTATTTCAGTGCAGCTTCACGCTGTACACGCAAGTATTGATGGGCACATTTTGGGCTTCTAGGATTTCCATAATTTCTTGGTGCTTCGTGGGGCTTAAACCTGTCGGCAGGACTGTTCCTAAATTCTTCGTAGCTGTGGCTCATGCGCTTCGCTGCGAACGGCATACACATAGTAGCACTCAAGCCGTGCATGATCTTGCCGTGCGTGGACATGAAGGTTGGGAAATCATCGAGGGTCCTCGCAAGGTCGAAAACGACAGTTACTGGAATCAACTTTCGGGAATCACGATGGTAGCTGTTGGAATACATTTGCAAGGATGAATCCTACACCCTAAGCCCAAAGCCCAAAACCCCAACCCTAAACCCCAGAACCTAAACCCTAACCCCCAAACCCTGAATCCTAAACCTAAAACCTATAAGGGATACTGGAGTTTTCTATTAGGGTCCTTTTCTTTTCCGACTATGCCACTATTACAGGTGGCGGGTCCATCTACAACATACCTTAAATCACCTTAAGGGTCCTAGCAGGACTGGAGGGTTTAGGATTTAGGGTTTAGGGTTTAGGGTTTCTGAAGTAATCTAGATTGCGGTTTCTGGGTTGGTTTCAGCTGGCTACTGGGGTTCAGGGTTAGGGTTTAGGGTCCAAGGCTTGGGGTTCAGGGCTTAGGGCTGATGATTTAGGGTTTGGGGCAGTTTAGGGCTAGTAGGGTTTAGGGGTTAGGGTCCCTTGGCAGCTACATCTGCTTTGGTAGCATCGCGCGACATGTCTACCTGTGCGTCCATTTCTGAGCAACATGAGCCATAGTCTAAAGTACGTTTAGGATGTAGGGCTTAGGGTTTACGGTGTAAACTACTTTAACGCGGGGAGTTACACAGGGGATTATATTGGGGACTATAGGGGGTTATTGACGGGGATGGTGGAAAGCGCAAATCCATTGTTTCGTGCATTTGGGACTAAATCCCTTTTGGGTACCCTAAACCCGAAAATCCGCATCTTAGTAGTCAACTAGTGCATTCTTTGTCAGGTCGATGAGCTTTCATGTTATCCTCAACAGAAAAGTAAAATTTCCTGCGCAGACCCTATATAAACCCTAAATCTTAGACCCTAAGCCCTAGACCCTAAACCCTCAACCCTATACCTCAGACCCTAAACCCGAAACCCTAGACCCTAAACCTAAAACCTAAAACCTAGACCCTAAACCCTAAACCCTAAACTGCAAAGACGTGTCAAAAGGAGCACTACTTATCTTCCAAGATGGAAGGGCAGATTCGGAGGATATAGTATAGGGTTTGGGGTCCAGGCTTTAGGGTTTAGGGCTAACCATGTCTGGTAAAAAATGACCGGATGACGACCAGGCATGGTAAGCCCTAAACCCAAAATCCTAGATTTTTCAAAGGCCCGAACTTTCTGTAGGGTGCTCTACCTGATAGCTCCCATAGTTTGCAGCCGTTGAATACGTCACAGTTTTAGGGTTCTAGGGCTTACTGTAGGGTTCTTTGAAAAGATAGGTATGCGCTCGATCTTGTTAAGCTTGTGCTTTTCAAGCTTGTTTCGTGGAATTCCATGTGGGATTGCCTTAGACAGGAAAGCTAGCAAGTAAAGCCAATGATTGAACGAGAATTATCCCATTGGAAGCCAGGAGTGAGCCAGAGAAAACTTGAACCCCTAAACCCTATACCTTAATGGACCCCCCACCCAGTACTAGTGACTAGAAGGATTAATCGTGATCATATTTGGGTCCTTTATATTCCTATTATACCACTGTTACACGGTGGGGGGTCCTCCCATCCCTGTACCCTAAACCCTAAACTGACCCTGGTCAATCTAGAGTCCAGGGTTGCATGCTGGCTGCATTTTGAGTACTTGAAGGATGGAGTTTTTTTTAGCGGAGCATTTGGAAACATCAGATCTTCCCATGCATTTCATCACAAATTTGATGTGTCCTATGAATATCAAACGATGATGGGGAAGAGCATGATGAGCAGTTAGTACGTATAGGATATAGCAATGCCAGCAAGAGTACTAGCGAAAGCTCCTTACAATATTTCTTTGATCCCTGACTCTTGGCAGCTGCCAAAAGTCGAATCCCTTTTCCTAAGCCTATATACCCCTAGATGTAACCCCTGCGTGTCCCTATATACCCCTATATATCCCCTATATATCCCCATATATCCCTATATATCCCTATAGAACCCCCATATATCCAACTGTCTCAACTGGAGGGTTGTCGGAAAGTCTGATCCCTTATTGGGGTACACTAAAACACCATGGTTTTGGTTTAGGCTTTAGGGTTTAGGGTTTAGGATTTACGGTCTAGTTTTGGGTTTTCAGGGTTTCAGGGTTTTTAGGGTTTTAAGGTTTTAGGGTTTAGGGTTTGGGGTTTGGGGATTAATAAAACAGCAGGGGTCATAGTATATTGGCGATCAACAAGGGGCCAGGAGGGTGACTCCAAGTAAGCAAGGCCCGAGACAATGTAGAAACCCTGAACCCTACACCTTCAACCTTGAACCCCAAATCAACGGAAAGCCCAAAAGACCAGATGTGCAAGCCCATACGGGTTTAGGGTTTAGGGTTTAGGGGGTTCTGGTTCAGGGGTTTATAGGTCATCATACTGTAGGAGTAGTTCAAAATGCTTGTCCGTGGATGGCCATGAGGCAGACATGGATTTTTCAACCCCCTAAACCCCCTAAACCCCCTAACCCCCCTACCCTAACCCCCTAAACCCCCTAAACCCCCTAAACCCCCTAAACCCCCTAAACCCCCTAAACCCCCGAAACCCTAAACCCCCGAAACCCCCTAAACCCCCGTAAACCCCCTAAACCCCCGAAACCCTAAACCCCCGAAACCCCCTAAACCCCATAAACCCTAAACCCCCGAAACCCTAAACCCCATAAACCCTGAACCCCGAAACCCTAAACCCCCTAAACCCTAAACCGCCTGAACCCCTCAGCCTTGCAGGGATGGTGGCATCTGCACCCAGATTGCTTGGAATGCTTCAACGCTGTGGAAATGGTTCTTTGCGCTGCTGGCCTTTCACAAGAATTTGCTAGGGTTTAGGGCTTAGGCGCGTAGGGGTTCAGGGTTTAGGGGTTTAGGGTTTTAGAGTTTAGGGGTTTATATGGGGGTTTCCCAAAATTAGGGGTACCTTATATTCTGGGTCCCCATAATAGGGACTTTCGCAATTGCGGGTCTATATTGGGGTCCCTTCATTTTGGGAAACAGCCATCTGCAATGTAGGCATTTAGAAGCCCGACATTCCAAGTCTTCAGCACTTCTCCGGTGTCCTAAAAGGAGCTGGTGCGTATGCAAAGACTAAGACCGCGCACGAAAGCATGTGCTAGAGCTGTAATTCCGAAAATTCTGTACAGTTGCCTATGTTACGACTCGAAACCGGACTCGCAACATAGCCCCACCAACTTTCGAAACCCTAACCTAGGGTTTCAGGTTTAGGGTATAGGGTCTAGGGGTTAGGAACCTAGGACCCTCTCATTGCAACTGCCACAATCCCAGACTTCTACGCGATATCAACAACTCCAAATGCTGGGCGCTTGACTGAGCTGTGGTCTTCGTATATGCTCACCCTTGGGGGATTCCTGGGTCGCTCTTTAGGAATTTAATTTTTAAGTTATTGAATGGAAAAGAAAATGGAAAGTATTAAATATAATGGGGTTACATAGGGTGCAGGGTTTAGGGTTTAGGGCTTAGGGTTTATAGGGTTTAGGGTTTATAGGGTTTAGGGTTTAGGGTTGCTGTTCAGGGGCTTAGTTTCAGTTTCTGTACTGGGGAAGCCATATTGGTTACTACATATGCTGATTATGGTAACTTAGCTTATGTTTCTTGACAGCAACCCAGATTCTTGAATGCTCCTTCCTGCTGAACCCTCACCTCATGCAACTGCTAGGGCACGACAGTGCCGACTGTCGTCGTTGAGTTTGGTCATAATTCCTGCAAGCAACTTCTGAAAAATTTGGCTGTAAGAACCAAGCAGATTCCGAGCCTCAGGCTGGAAGGAGCGAAAGCTCACTAACCTCTACACCACCATCTCAAGACACTGCGACTTAAAGTAGTGGATGTTGCTTTTATAGTTTAGGTTAGGGTTTAGGTTTTAGGGTTCAGGGAAACTCCCATATCATGATACATGACTATCGGCACGGCAAGCATGGCACTGCTCAGGAATTTGAAGGTGGCCACAAAGCATTCAAGCCTAGGCATTTACTGCAGAGCTTTGGGTTTAGTTAGGGTTTAGAATAAAACCCCCCAAGCCCTAAACCCTAAACCTTAAAAAAAAAACACTTCCCGTAAGGAAGTTCAATACCTGTAGTTAGCTGCTTCCTAAACCCTATTGTCCCCCTTAAGGAGATAGAATGTGCCTTTAGGTAGAAGATATTAAGATCCCCATATACCCCATATTCTATCTACTTAAGGGGGAACGATAAACCCTCTGGCAACCCTAAACCCTAAACCCCAAACCTTAAAAAGGGCTCCCGAAGGTATTGCTGGGTGCAGCAAAGCGCCCGGCAGCTCGGGGGACCCATCGCTGCCCTCTTGATGAGCACCTCCTTCTTCACGCTCTTCCATGCAGCTTGGCAGTGCTCCCATGGGAGCTAGGATTAAATAGGGGTTATTCTATATTATATAATATTGGGGGTTATAATGGGATAATGGAAAAGAAAATGGAAACTACTATTTAGGGATTAGGGATTAGGGTTTAGGGTTTAGGGTTATAGGATATGAGTAGTATTTTATTTGGGGATACTATGGTACCCAATATGGAGTAAGATTATGTCCTCCTTTTGGGGGTATAGTATTTCATATAAGGAATATAATCTTACTGGGTAGGTCCTATACCTGTAGGAGTTATGTGAGCTATAGTCTAAACCCCTAGCATCCCCCTTAATATCTCCTATAGGCGTCCCCTATATAATCTCCTATATAACCCCCTAAGCTCTAAACCCTAAACCTTACATAATCCCCTAAATGATCCCCCTTTAAGGAGTTTAGACCCCAAACCCTAAACCTATAGACTATTGCTTATGTTTGCTTTTTATGAGTCGTTGCCCAGAAACTGAGTCGTCTAGGGTTTGGGGGGGTACTGACAGTTCTCATTATATTATGTTGAGGTCTATATTAAATTTGGGGCGCGCTGTTTCAAATGGAAACCCTGAGTAGACGATCCTTGGATGGTTCATCCCTAAACCTTAAAACCTAAACGCTAAACTTAAATCCCCAAGCCTGAACCCAAACCCTAAACCCTAAACCTTTGCAAGGGCTAAAAGTCTGAGAGTGTTTTCCTTTCCAGGGCTTCCCCTGAACAGACTCAACAGATTGCCATGGCAGTCTTGCAGCTGGTGCATGCCTTTGCGCACAATGCCCTTGGAGAAGAAGGGTGATGAATGACTGACAGGATAACTACACCCCTTGTCAGAATTCCTTCGCATTACCCCTATATAGACCTAGTTTCTGTTTCATTCATTAGACTCTCCGTTTTTTTAGGCCTATAGTTCTATCCGCTAAATCCCCGCTAAGGGACCTAAGGTTTCCATTTCATTGTCAATTTTCTTTTTTCGGTTTGTTCTCGAGTTTGGGTAACTATCTAATGTCTGTTAGCTCCAGTAACCTTCAGCCTAGACCCTGAATTCATATTTTAGCTGCAATTTTCTTGTCCATTACCCCCTTCTAGTCCTATATATCCCCTAAATCCTTAACCCTAAAACCCCTACACCCCTAAACCCTAACCCCTCAACCCTAAACCTTGAACCCTAAGCCCTAAGTCCTAAGCCCTAAACCTAAAGCCCTCAGCCCCAGCAACCTTCGTCCAAGGTCTGTTTCCAAGGAACTTCCTCCAAGCACAGATGTACTGTAGTCTAAACTCCTTAAAGGGGGGTTATATAGGGGATTATATAGGGGACTAGTATGGGTTTAGGGTATAGGGGCTTAGACAATGGCTCATATGTACTGTAGTCTAAACTCTTTAAAGCGGATTACTTAGTGTATATGGGGGTTCAGGGTTTAGGGTTTAGAGTCTAAGCTCCTTAAAGGGGGCTTTTCTGAGGGTCATATACGGGAGTTTTCTAGGGGCTACTGAGGGGGATACTAGGAGTTTAGACTATAGCATACAGTTTGGGGTTGAACTCCAGGTCCTTTGGGAAACTGGGGGTTTAGCATTTAGGGACCCTTAAAACCCAAACACTAAAACCCAAAACCCAAAACTCTAAACCCGAAACCCTACATCCCTAAACCCCAAACACTAATTAAACACTAAACCGCCAAGGGTCCTTTGGGGAAATAGCTAGGGATTCTGTAGGTCCATAAGGGCAAATTGGTTTAGGGCTTAGGAATTCTGATCTTAACTACCATACCGGTTTAGGGTTTAGGCTTTAGGAAATCTGATCAACTACCGTCTCTACCAGATATGTGGGGTTGAGGGTTTAGGGCTTTAGGGCTCCGGAGCACATGATAAACCATAGAGAACTAAATGGAAAAGACAACGGAAGATGAAATGGAAACCTGGGTTTATACTTGCATTAGATTCCCTGAAACCCCAAACGGTAAACCTGAAACCCAGAATCCAACACCAAAAGAAGGTGAGAGGGACCGTTTCCGTAGGCCGGAGGGCACCCCAGGTCGACACTCACTCACTCACTTACTCAGAATCCAACACCCAGAATCCAAAACCCTCAACGCTTACCTCAAACCCTAAACACTGAACCCTAGACCCTAAACCCGAATGATGTCTTCCAGAAGCAATTGCCCCCGAGGTCGGAACCCAAGATGTCGCGTACCTGCCTTTTGGGCAGAATGTAAGGGCTTAGGGTTCAGGGTTTGGGATGTATTTTTTTTTGGAGTTTAGGGCGGAATCTGTTTTTGGGGAAGGTCCACTAGCACTAGGAAGTTTACCTGCTGTTTTTTTACAAGGCCCTGAAGCGCGCGGCATTGATTTGCGCAGGTTCTACTTGGAGAGCCAGCGGGGTAGGGTTTAGTGGGATTTAGGTTCAGGAGATTTAGGGGGTTTAGGGGTAGGGGGTTTGTTTATAGGCTTTAGAGAGTTCAGAGTTTAGAGCCAAAGGGACTTTGCCTGAGAAAGTACGTTAATGCTGGGGATACGTGGGGTGATGTATTCTCGGGGTACAAGTACTTACTAAGTCCCCCTGACTCCTCACCAGAAAGCATTTTTAAGTCCTGCATCCCCCTACACATCCGTTCAAAAAAAATTGCTTTATCACCGCTTTGAAAGGATTAAATCTGCCTGATCCTTCAAGTAGGGATGAAGGGCAGGCAGGGCATTGGGACTCCCCCAAATTCAAACATGGAACCTGAAAAAGGGCCCTTTGTAGACTACGGTCCTGTAAAATGGGGGCTATGTGGGGTTCCATGTTAGTTTTGCGGAGCGTATCTATCAGAGTACTTTCTACTAAGATCGTTAAATTGCTCCAATGACTGGCATTATGGCAATCGCTGTAACTATTACCGTTACTATAGTTATTATTGTTATTATGTTCTTCATCATCAGGACCGCCTACTACACTGTCAAACCCGAAGCCTGCATGATTCTTCGTCCAACATACTTCTTGTTGCGGACACGTGTACAGTGCACGTTACTCCGGGCCGTGACCTGGGTTAAATGGGTTCAGGGTTTCGGGCTTAGGGCTGAGGGGTTTCGGGGCTTAGGCTTTAGGGGTTTAGGGGTTTCGGGTTTGCCCGAGCAGCAGTTTGCATTTTCCTTTCCATTCTTTTAGGGTCCTAACGCATCTTTTCCTGGGTCCTTACTATGAGCCGCTGATTAGGTTGGTAGTAGGTCCACGGTTCTCTAAACCCTAAACCCTCATCCCAGAACCACTAGACCCTGAACCTAGAAACCTTAAACTCCAAACCAAGGCACCTTAAACCCTTAACCTAGAAACACTGAAGCCAGGAACCCTAAACCCTACACCTAGAAACACTACAGCCTAAACCCAAGAACCTTGTACGAATACTAATGATAGTCACGAAACGTGCTGATGTCAGCTCATAGCTGCTAAACCTTTATCCCAGAAACAGTAAGCCCTAAACCCAGGGACCGTAAAACTCTAAACCCAGGAACCCTAAAACCCTACACCCAGGAACCCTGAACTTAGAAACACTAAACCCCAAACCCGGACCCAAAACGTAAACTCTAAACCCTCATTCTTGCTCGTTTGGGGCAAACCTTAGGGGTACTTGGAAATGAATTTGACTTTTTGCTTATTATAATCCTAAGGAATAGCAAAATTTTTGCTATTTACTATGGCTCCAAGTTCCTCAGTGAAACATTGCTCGACCCTAAACCCTAAACCCTAAACCCCTCATTTGGGGCAAAGAGCCCAGGAAGAGGGCCTGGCTGGTGAACGCTTTCTTCGCGGTGCCTTTCCTTTTTTTTGGCCACTGGGCTTGAAGAAGGGCTTTAGGTTGTACGGATTTTTGGGGTTTAGGGATTTCAGGGTTTAGGGGTTGAAGGGTTTAGGGATTAAAGGTTTCAGTGTTTGGGGTTTAGGGGTTTCGGGATTTAGGGTTTAGGGGTTTAGGGGTTTAGGGTTAGGGGTCTAGGGATTTAGGGTTTAGGGGTTTAGGGTTTTGGCTTAGGAGTTTTGCGTTTTAGGGTTTAGGGGTTTAGGGTTCGTGGTTTTAGGATGTAGGGTTTAGGGGTTGAGGGTTTACAGTTTCGGGTGTAGGGGCGTTCCAAGCCTGACGCGCGGCTGGTTGCTTCCGCCCGACCCACCCAAGGTTCGTTGTGTTCAGTTCATATTCATGTCTTGAAAACTGCCCCCCCTCAGTAACAGTT